TCTGGCCGGTGTATGAGCGGGAAGCTTACGCTATCTTCAAGGCATTAGAACGGTTTAGATCGTTGCTCTGGGGTTACCATTTGGAGTTGGTCGTCTTTTCGGATCACAAGCCTTTGGAATGGATACAGACGGCTACGACGGCGAAAGTGCAACGCTGGCTCATTAGTATGTCCCAGTTCAAATTTAAGGTATTTTACAAGAAGGGTAAGCACAACGTCGTAGCTGATGCCTTGTCCCGGATTACTACATCCGACGACAAAGTGGCAGAGCCAGATCTTGGAGCACTCCAGCATGAACTGCAAGGTACACCTGCCCTGGTGACGGACAAGGTATTGACTGAAGGTAGGGAGGCCGATGCGATGGAGAAGGACAATTTTGCCCCTGCTTGTGTTCTCACCCTCTGTGAGCAATGGTCAACAGCTGATTTGGTACGTGAGCAAGAGTTGGATCCTGTTCTTCGGGTAGTGAGAGACAGGGTCCGGACAGGAGAGCCTTTAGCGAAGGATGAGCTCAAGGATCTAGAGTATCGGCCCTATCGGAGAGTTTGGCTAACCCTACGGGTTCATGATTCTGGTCTATTGGTACGAAGAGTGCAGATTAATGAAGAGGCGACTTCGAGGTTTGTTCCAGTGGTCCCCGAAGGTCTTCGACGCCAAGCATTAGATCGGTTTCATGAGGAGGCGGGACACTTTCGACGAGAGCACATGGTGGCAAGGTTGAGACGTACAGCTTACTGGCCAGGTATGAGTAAGGATATTAGTGAGTTCTTGTTGCACTGTGAAGGCTGTGCCCCCCATAAGAACGTCTTGCTACCCCACTTGCCGTATGTCCCGTATCCGGTTGGTTCGCCTTGGCATACAGTAGCTATCGATTTCCTTACGGTGGCTCCCGGCAGAAGCGGTGTATCTAAACTATTGGTAGTGGTGGACCACTTCACAAGGTGGGCCGAAGCTGTCCCCGTGGCAGGTGAGAGTGCTGCGGAGGCACTGAAGGCCCTACTGAATCTCTTTTCGATTCATGGTCCCCCGGTTAGGATACTCTCAGACCAGGGGAGTGCGTTCGAGTCTCAGCTGTTCAAGGATGTCTTGGCTCAGCTAGGTATAGCTAAGTCCCGTACTTCGGTCTATCATCCCAATGCAAA